CGTGACCACCAGGAAGTTTGCTTTCCCAATAGGCGTTAGGAGAGCAAAGATTTGTCATTGTTTGACAGCAATGTGATTTACCTACCAAATGCTCTGTTAGGTCCCTCCACAAAGGCTATTCACTACTTCTAAGTTTTCAAAATGTGAATACCACCCATCACAAGAAGCATTTCGATCTTGTCAATCAGTAACACTGAAAGTCGATTAAGCACTTAGTACCCTCAGTACTTAATAGGTGGACAACATCAAACGGTAGACAAATGTGGTGCTGATTAATCCCAAAAATAGTTTTTCTGGATCCTGTTGCTAACCAAAACCAACCATCATTACATGTTAATATAAGTTGGAAGTTATTTCTCAACCAATGAAATAACTTTTTAATCTTGTCTAAAGTGGATAAAATTTGATTACCATCACAGTATCTCCGATTTGATCATCCTAACTTCCTTCACTCTTTGCAAATATTCAGTAGGTCAGTTCCATAATCCAGATTGTAGCTGAACAGAAGACCCAATTTAAAACTATTAATACAATCAAAAATGGGAATTGGGCGTCAGTGCCAAATGCCTTTAAAATGTCCTTGGCTATTTGTGGGCTTTTAGCTCCGTCTCAGTCGGTCTTGCATGCAAAGATGTGGAAGAGGTGAGGCTGAGTCACATCATCCACTGTCTGCGTTATTGCTTGCGGTATCATGCCTTGGCCTCTTTGGGGACGCGCCTTCCAGTCTCAATATTACTCTTCACTTTAAGCATTATAGTTACGCTTCTTTTGCCCTTTTTCATAAGTGGCAGGTCGCCCTACCTTGTTTCATGGCCCTTCACTCATTCCATTTTCTTCATATTGTTTTCCTTCTAACAAAGTATTAACTTTGCCGGGCACATAAATTACCGCCTACCTCCAGACCCTTATCTTCGAACTGGTCAAACTGTTGCAATTATAAAACACAAACCTGATTTCCATGTTGTATGCTGCAGAGATTTTCACCTTGTGTTTGACAGAAATCGTGAATCATAAATCAGAAGACGTGCAGCTTTTCAAATTCGCGGATTTCGACATGGTGATTTTGATCAAAACTTGTACCTTTTTGAATGGGTAAATGAGACAAACTCCTTATGGACTACTCAAAGCAATTTTAAGGTGGGAGATGCTTTGAATGTGACTGTGATATGGTATGGTGGACAAGACACTGCTGGTTTGCTAAAATAGAACCGTTTCCCATCGACTGAATTACAGATCAGTGATACCGGCGATGAACGCCTTTCGAAGGAAGTTGACAATGCAAAAAATAGTGTGATTTCCTCTTATATTTTGGTGAGAAAGATTGTGAATCAGCAACCATTTTGCATGCTAGTAAATCCGTCACAATGAGTGAGCTTATGCCATAGCAATGATTAGCTGATATTCTGGTTCTTCAAATGTACTTACCCTCCCTGTCTGAATCTCTGGGCAGTATAAATATCAGCTACTCGTAAACTAGCCTAAATAATTTAAGGCCCCAAAAGCTATAAAAAGAAGTAAGTTCTTTATAAGTAAAGTGTAAAATGGTGAGCTTTTCATTTACACGTTAAATGAAGGCGTAGGCAGCATAGAAAATATGCACTGACGAACATGTGTTTAGAGCTCTTTTTATTTCAAAGCTGTAGATTGCTAATCGGTAGATCATTGTGATGTTTCCTGGTCGCCTGCAGTTGAGCTAATTCAGATTGGATCAATTTATGCCTGG